TCGACTCTTCTACCCTAGGGGGTCTAATTGTCTCACACACGCACGCGCACAGTGTTCTTTTCCTCTGAGGGTAAAAGCGTCAAAAAATTACTCGTAGGGGGTTTATCTCCAGCAATTGAGCAACATGGGGCCTATTTTCAATTGGGCGATAATACATGGCTGTTTGCAATTAACCCTTTTCTTGAACTTTTTAGACTCCTGAGTCTATCCTACACCTTTTCTCACACATTTTATACGGTGTTTTGCTTCCATTATTTGATGAAATTGTAATTGATCTATTGATTACTTTTGTCTTGATGTTGTAGGAGTTGAACAATTTGCGTACTTATAGTGCCCTTAATCATCATTATGGCAATCATCGACATAGACTTCTATGCTTCATCGGTAATCTTCTTTGTTCCTTGTTCTTATCGTGTTCAACCAGAGATGCATTGCCATCAGATGAGATCTTTCAGTCTCTGTTGCTTTTAAGACATTAAGATCAATCCCAAACCTGTTAATATTTTCCTGTAAGTTACCAGAGGCTCTACAGTGTGAATTTTCGTGATGCGTATTGTAATGTTTTCCTCCTGTATCCTTAAGATGTACCTTCTGTATTTAACTTGAGTGAAGTGGTAATGCAGAAACATGTGCTAAAGAAATATATTGATGGTGAATTTAATTCGAATATTGTATGTTTTCTCTTTCTATACTTTTGCTTGATCTGGATTCAAATGTAAAATCATAGGATGATTCGAGCTCTCGGATATTGGCAAGAGTCGTAAAGAGATTACAATCGCTTAACTACTTTTTGCACTAAAGAAGTGTGGGATTCTTGGCAACTTATCAATTTGATAGTAATTTAAGCGGAGAGACTGATTGGGGCTGCCGCTGTTGTATGCAGCGGAATCGAAGGACACGAACAAGATAAGGAGAGCAAATCAACAATCAAACACAAGCATCACATATCAAGATATCAAATTTTATGTTGTTTGGCAATGTGCCTACGTCCACGGGACAATGAGGGGGAAGATTTCACTAATAGAGAGAGAGAGTATAAATAGAGTTTACAGTCACTCAATAATCTCAAAAAATAAACGCTCAAACAAAACTCTCAAATCCCTCACAAATTCTCCCTTTCTAAGTGCTCAAAACAATACTCAAATCTCAGCTTCTTAACCCTAGAAATGTCATGTTCCTATTTATATCAAATAGGAATTCAAAACAGGTCAGGAAGAAAACAGGGCCCGAAACCGCTACGCGATGGATCGGGCATGAGCATCCGGTCGATCGGTCAGAAGCCCAAACTTTCACCCTGTAACTCAGCATACATTCGGTCGACCGCACATACATGATCGTTCGACCGACCAGATGCAGGAATCCAAACCCTATAATCGTGCACCTTTTCGGTCGACCGGACATGTATGTTCGGTCGACCGGCCAGCGACATTGTTTCTTACCCTGTAATTTCACAGTCTGTAGGTCGACCGACCTATGCACACGGTCGACCGACCCGTAAATAGTCCTGTGCACTCCAAATTTCCTGATCTTCTTTGCCGTTTCTACAAATCTCCACATCGGCGAAGGAAGAATATTCAACAACTCCAAACAATGACAAAATTTCACCCCAGTGATAACTTTGGTCAACATATCCGCCGTGATAACTTTGGTCAACATATCCGCCGGATTGTTCTTTTTGTGGATCTTCTCTAATATAATGTCTCCATCATCCAAGAAATCTCGCATAAAATGGAACTTGACATTAATGTGCTTTGTTCGGGCATGATACACCTGGTTTTTTACCAAATAGATACCTGACATGCTATCACATTTTACCATGATGGTATCATGTACAATCCCCAAGTTATCCAATAACCCTTGTAACCACAAATCTTCCTTCACAGCTTTAGTCAACGCCATATACTCTACCTCCGTAGTGGAAAGAGCCATTGTAGACTGAAATGTACATCTCCAACACACTGGTGCTCCTGCTAGTGTAAACACATATCTAGTAGTAGACCGACGCTTGTTAAGATCCCCAGCATAATCCGAATTCACATATCCAACACAATACTGCCTATTTCTTCCATTCTTCTCAAATACCAAACCAACATCCACGATACCTTTTATATACCGTAAGATCCACTTCACGGCCTCCCAATGGCCCTTCCTGTGGTCGTGCATGTACCTAGGCACCATGCTCATGGCCTGTGACAAATATGGTATTGTACACACTATATCATACATCAAGCTACCCACAACACTGACATATGAAACTTTAGACATGTATTCACGGTCCTCAACTAAAACATGTGACATCTTAGCTGATAGCTTAAAGTGGGGAGCAAATGGAGTACTCACCGCCTTGGCATTGTCATCAAAACTGAATTTCTTCAGCATCCTTATCTGAGTCAACTTCAACCTCCCCTTCACTCTGTCTCTCTCAATTTCCATACCCAATATCTTATTTGCTTCTCCAAGGTCCTTCATCTCAAATTCAGATGACAACTCCTTTTTCAACTTCCTAATAGCTGAAGTATTCCTAGAATCAATGAGCATATCGTCAACATATAACAACAAATAAATATACTCACCATTCTGTAGCTTATGCATGTACACACACGGGTAATATGAGCTCCTCGTGTACCCTTGACCAATTATGAAACTGTCGAATTTCTTGTAACATTGTCGCGGTGATTGCTTCAATCCATAAAGATATTTTTTCAGTTTACATACCAAATCTTCTTTGCCTGCAGCTCTAAAACCCATCGGTTGTGACATATAGATCTCTTTTTCTAAATCTCCATGTAGAAAGACTGTTTTCACATCCATCTGAACCAAATCCAAATCCACTTGTGCCATCAATGCTAATAGTATTCTTATCAATAAATGCTTCACAACAGGTGAGAATACCTCATTGTAATCAATGCCCTTAAGTTGGGCATACCTTTTGGCAACCAATCTGGCTTTGTATTGAATGTCCCCATCAGAAGATCCGTCTTTCTTTACATATACCCACTTGCATCCAATTACTTTCTTACCCTTTGGTAATTTTGCAAGTTCCCAAATGTCATTCTTTTGAAGAGAATGCATCTCCTCATCCATAGCTTTCCTCCACCTGATTGAATTAGAGCTTGACTCTGCTTCCTTATATGTAGAAGGAACCAAATCATCAATGACATCCATTGACAAAGCAGATGCAATCATCACACCATCATATCTAGCTGGCCAACGAATAATTCTTCTTGGTTTATTAGCTACAATGGACTCCTGAACATGACCATGTTCCTGAGTCCGAATATCCACTGTATCCTCCACCTGCCCATCTATCATATCTTCTTCCAGTGTTACCTCTGTATGAGCTTCAATAGATACAATGCTATCTGAAGTCTGTGGAGTCACATCATCCTCCACCTCCTGTGATACCCCACTAGTTTGGCCTTCCTCTACCTCCTGAGGGACCTGAGGCCTCATCATGCGAGTCTCATCAAAAGTGACATCTCTGCTAATGATTATCTTCTTGTCTTCTGGATCTCACAACTTGAAGCCTTTAACTCCATCTCTAAAATCCACAAAAACTGATTTTCTTACCCTCGGGTTCAATTTCCTATCATTCACATGATAGTAAGCTGGACACCCAAATATCCGAATCAAATCATAATCACTAGCCACTGTACCAGACCATACCTCTATAGGAGTCTTTCCATGTATCGCAGAGCACGACAAACTATTCATGAGATGGCTTGCATAAAGCAACGTCTCAGCCCAAAAGGATCTAGCCAATCCATTCTGTGAGAGCATGCAACGCACGTTCTCCAGCAAGGTACGGTTCAATCTCTCGACCACCCCATTTTGTTGCGGTGTCTCCCTAACTGTGAAATAACGTCTAATACCGTGATCCCGATAAAACTATAAAAATGGATCACTCTTGTACTCACCACCATTATTAGAATGGAGTACTTTCACCTTTTTACCTGTTTACAGCTCCACTTTCTTTTTTTCATTCCACAAAGATATCCATAGCCTCATGTTTATGCTTCATGGTATATACCTAATTCCTTATGGAATAATCATCAATAAAAGTGATAAAATAATTGGTCCCACCAAGAAATGTGTTTTTGGAAGGACCCCAAACATCTGTGTGAACGTAATCTAATATACCTTAGGTGTTATGAATTACGGTGCTGAATTTTACTTTTATCTTCTTTCCAAGTATGTAATGTTCACACAACTCCATCTTGCAAGCCTTTGCACCCTTCAATAGCCCATGCTTTGCCAATGTCTGTAAAGACTTATCACCAGTATGTCCCAATCTCATGTGCCATAGACGGGTAGTATCCTCCTCTGTGGTAATAGAAGCTGCTAGACCATCTGTTACTGTCTTTCCCTTCAAGTAGCAAAGATTATTTTTCTTGACACCTCTCATCACCACCATGGACCCCTTTGTGACCTTCAAAGTTGCATTCTCCATGATCACCTTATAACCTAATGCCTCCAAAGTTCCAAGTGAAATGATATTTTTTATCAATTGATGAACGAATCTCACTTCCTTCAACTCCTTAGTCACGACATCACACATTCTGATTCGAACTGTTCCAATACTACCAATGGGACATACGTGATCATTTCCCATTAAATCGATATCCACTCTCTCCAACTCCTCAAAGCTAGAGAACTAATCCCTCCTAGGGCAAATGTGGTATATAGCACCTGAATCCAACATTCACTCTGTAGAGTCTGCATAACAAACTGATGGTACTGCTAGGCATGAATAGCCTGAAGAATCTGAATCTGAATTATCACCATTAACTTTGGCAACATTCACCTCTGAAGTCTGAACGACTTTCCCTTTGTTCTTTCTGGCTCTATCTTTCAACTTTGGGTATTTATTTTTCCAGTGTCCATCCTCTTTGTAAAAAACACATTGATTCCTACCCATACTTCTATGACCACCTCTTGGCTTTGATTTTGAGCGATTAAATGGACGGGATTTGGGACTACGGCCTCCCACTACCAATGCATCTTCTGATGCCTTCTCAGAGGGTTCGCCATCACTCTTCCTCAACTCATAATTCACCAATGCTGAGATCACCTTGTTGTAACTAACAATGGTTCTACCATTAATCATTGTAAGGATAAAGGTACCATAATCATCCTCTAGCAACGAACACAATAACAACATCACATTATCTTCATCCTCTACTATGATATCCACATTGGCCATATCCGATAGCAATTTCATGAAGTTATTGATATGTTCTCTAATGAAAACTCCCATCTTCATTTTGAATTGGTAAAATCTCTTCTTTAAATGAAGCCGATTCTCAACGCTCTTCGTCAAATACTTGTCATTGGGTATTTCGCACAACCGTTTCGCCGATGTTTCATTCATGACATCATAAATCAAATCCGACATCAAAGACGATCTAATAACCCCACATCTACTATTTTTTTTCCAAACCTTATCCTCCATATCATCGGGTTTCTCTTGTAATTCAAGAGTCTCCTCCAAATTTTGAGCATCCACAAACCTTATCCTCCATATCATCGGGTTTCTCTTGTAATTCAAGAGTCTCCTCCAAATTTTGAGCATCCAATGCATCCATCACCGGGTTTCTCTTGTAATTCAAGAGTCTCCTCCAAATTTTGAGCATCCAATGCATCCATCACTTGACACCTTCACAAACCAAAATTTATCTTGCCTTCACAATTTTGAACATCGATTTTTGTATTAGTAATACTCAAACCTTGTATCGCCTTAGTTAGGGATGATCCGGATGTATTTGCTTCGGTCATGTTGACAATCCAATCTTCAAACGAGAATCTGCACCTAATCCTCTTGTAGAAACCTTAGCTTTCTTCTCCAAATTTGAACCCAAGCCAACCCGGAGCTCTGATACCAATTGTTGTGCGCAGCGGAATTGAAGGACACGAACAAGATAGGAGAACAAATCAATAACCAAATACAAGTACCACACAGCAAGACACCAAATTTTACGTGGTTCGGCAATGTGCCTATATCCACGTGGCAAGAAGGGGGAATATTTTACTAATAGAGAGAGAGACAGTACAAATATGGTTTACAATCACTCAACAACATCACAAAAATAACCCTAAAACAAAACTCTCAAACCGCTCACAAATTCTCCCTTTCTAAGTGCTCAAAACAATGCTCAAATCTCAGCTTCTTAACCCTAGAAACGTCATGTTCCTATTTATATCAAATAGGAATTCAAAACAGGTCAGGAAACGAACAAGGCTCAAAACCGCTACGCGGTCAACCGGGCATGAGCATCCGGTCGACCGACCAGAAGCCCAAACTCTCACCCTGTAACTCAGCATACCTTCGGTCGACCGCACATACATGATCGGTTGACCGGCTAGACGCAAGAATCCAAACCTTGTAATCGTGCACCTTTTTGGTCGACTGGACATGTATGTTCGGTCGACCGGCCAGCGACAGAGTTTCTCACCCTGTAATTTCACAGTTTGTCGGTCGACCAGCCTATGCACTTCGGTCGACCGACCCGTGACTAGTCCTGTGCACTCCAAATTTCCTAATCTTCTTTGCCGTTTCTACACCCGCCACAAAGGGGTGCACAAAAATATCTATGAAGGAAATATTCGGATCTGTTTGGATAGGGATATGGTTATTGAAATTTATAACTGGTAGAATATGATTATGTAGTGAAATATATGGATTTGTATCCGAAATGTCTAAATTTATATTGCCTACTATTAGTCAACATTGTTGCAACAAGTTTAATCCTAAGATTATGGGGTTTGAGGTTAATTTTGATGATTAAGATATCTAATTTTTGCTTTTCAGATATAACAAACATATTAATGAAATTTCTAGTATCATATAAACTTTATTTTTTTAATATATCTTGTTTTCTCATATTTGTTTTGTATCTATATGCATATTTACATGCGTATGTGTCCAATTTTAACAGATACAGATGTGAATTTTTCTTATCGAGATATATCTATATTCATATTTGTATCTATATTTGTAACTGGTAAGCGTTTATATGTATATCTGCAAGCATATTTGTATCTGTGTCCAATTTTAATAGATATGGATGTGAATTTTCCTTACCGAGATATATCTCTATTTGTATCTATATTTGTAACTGGTAAGCGGACATGAATACGGTAAGCATCATACTTAAGCTATCTCCCGGCCGAGTGCACCTCTAGCCATAGGTGCAACATCTACCTATATTATTTTCTAAAATAACAAAAGCAACGATGTCTTCTCTGCGAATTTATCCTAAAATTATCTTTGATAATCGTTAGCTATAATTAAATTCCTTCTCCTATTTCTTTTGCTAGCCAATTACTTTTTCACTTGAGGTTATTTAGATATTAGTCGCTCATATCTTCAATAATTCCATATTAGTCCCTCAAATTCTAGAGAATCTTGCAATTTGGTTCCTCAATGACTGAAATACCCACCTGCTATTTTGTCCCTCCAAACAAAAAGAATATTGAGAGGAACATAACTTGAGGGTTATTTTGATCACCGAGGGACCAAATTAAAGGACCCCTTAGGATTTGAGGGGCTTCTGAGCAATTTGAAGATCTGAGGGACTGATATGGAGCTTTTAATGGGCATAATTTAGAATTGGACAAATTTTCAAAATGACTGTTTTCCAAACTTAATGAGCAAAATCAACCGCTGAAGAAAAAATTTAGCAAAATCGACCTGCACGGGACTACTAGTCCCGTGCAGTTCTAAAAAAAGTCAAAATCAACCCTCCCCTTCACCCACAGCGCCGCCGCGCCCCACTCCTAGTTCGTC